GGAAACTGCCGATGTACGGTCTGGCCAGGAGGCTGGAGCTGGAGCTCGCAGTCTGATACCCTTTCCTTCGAAAAGAGGCCTTCCCACTTTGTATTTGTAGGATCGCACACTGATCGTTTCCTTGATTGTCGATATGGGTTTTTCACCCGGCCCACGAGGGCGCGGTTTTCCTGTAACGTTATAGTAAGTTGTTGAAGGTCCGGCACGCCCTAGGGCACAGCGGTGTAGGAATAATAATGATATTCCAACGACCGAAGCAAACAAGCATTAGCATCTATAGTCTGCCTCAGGCATACCCGCCCCAGTCTCCCTGTTTTTGAGTTGCGTTCAAACAACTCGGTGAATGACGCATCGATTGGTTGTCAAAGATGATTCTTCTACCGAGTATGTGCATGGTTTCAGTCTACGACCGGACAACAAGCGGGGTTTTCGGCGGTACACTGTGCATAAGTACATGACCGCAGACTGCTTAACGTTAGCTGCATCTGCATAATCTTCCAGTCCAGGATGTTTAAAAGTCAAGCTCGATCTGCTCATCGCCCTGTCTTCTCAGTTTTCTGGCAGAACTGCCGCGGAACTATCGATTGTTTTCGGAGAGCTCACCGACTATCTTGTGCTGACATTGACAGCCAGACTGCCACAACACTGCTGGCTCCCGTAGCTGGAGAACACCCGATTAACAACATGAATCGACACGGGGTTTTCGGTTTATTCAGTAGCGACTTGGTGTGTTACATCGATGACAGAGAGTGCTTCTCACAGTACTCCACCACGAGTACAGCAGTGGGCATCAGCAGACTTGCCACCACCGCCACCGCAGCGGCATCAACAGGTGCCAGCATCGTCGCCCAGCGCTTGACGGAATTCAGCTGGACATGTTTATTGACCGGAGGCGTCCGTCTTGCAGCATTTTAAACCTCGCAGAAGTCGACGTAAGTTTGGTTCCTTGTCAGCGTTACAATTTAGCTACCTAAGGTAGCTAAACGGCTGACGCGGTGTACATGTAGCGGAAAGTGTTGACCATTGCATGGAATTGTGCATACTGGATCACTATGCTGCTCAATTGGGATGCAAACGAACTCTATCTGAGCCCGCTCACTGCCGGCCTTCCACGCGGCATCGATCTGTTAGCCGCGAAAAATCTCGTCCTAGAGCTCACCTACTCGGTCGCCCACCGGGTGCAAGCGCTTGTTCAGGAATTGTGCGACCAGACCATGAGATCCATGAGCAGGGCCGACGAGCATCAGAACCCGGTCACCCTCTGCTGTGCGCTTTGGATCGTCTTTACAGCCACTCACAAGTTTGAGAAGCGAAACTTCACTGCAACCAGCCTAGCAAACTTGGTAAGTGCTGGGTCCCCATCTGTCATCGAATTCCCGTTCCCGCCCGTGATTTGTGATTCTGACCGATGGGATGTGCAGAGAAACTTCCTCAGCAAGCTCCATGAGCGATCCAGAGCCGCAATACAGGCCATCAACCATCACAAATGGATGGCCAGTGCCCGCTGCTGCGGCCATGCAAGGGACAATCAAGGCGACTTTGCCAAGTTGATTGCGGAAGCCAAACGCCCAAAAGCAACCGTTAGTTTTGCTTTCGAGCGACACGTCGCCGATACGACCATGTTGCAGATTTTCTGCGGGGGCGACATCCTCAACTCTGGGTACGAGTTTCCTTTAGCTCCTGACGCCGAAGTGACCTAGCTGACTCGGACGACCTCAAGATTCCGACCACAGCGTTATCTGAAGTTCTGGAAGCCGAAGCATCTCTCCTGCAGAATAACGACCTGTTTGACGTCCGAGCCTGCTGGGATATGACGGCACCGTGGCCTTCGGATGCATTCTGGAAGGATGTCGACCGGCTAGGTGCGATACCGCGAGCGAGTGAAGGCCTAATCCTCGACTCATATCCTCCCCAGGCTGACCAGCATACTCTCATGAACCGCAACAAGACCACGGACCTTCTCGGTCTCGGAGGCGCAATAAACCTGAGGAATTCTGTCGATGAAGGGCAAGAGCGTCGATCAAAGCGCCGAGCATCACACTCGTCCTGGGCTTCGAGCGGAAGGACCAAAAAGGCGTCCGGCGAACACCGTTTGACGGTGCGGTGACGGTGCGGCGACCGGTGGTTATCTCTAACACAACTTGAACCATCAACCTGATCCGTATCAGAGTTCGTGCTGTTGGGAACAACGGATGCCTGCAGGATCGGGCTGAAATCGGGAAATGGTTTTTTTTACCTTTGGTAAAGGCGGATGGATGGAATTTATTTCGCCCGGAGGCACGAAGCCTAAAGGGCCTTGGCACGCTGAGTACATCCAATTCGTTGACGTTCAATCATCAACTCGTACAAGCCCTCTACTCTCTCCCCTTTTCTCACGCCACCTATTGCCTCTTGACTTAGTTTAGCAGATCGACTTGGAGGCTGCGTTCTCCAAGTGTTCAGCGTCCTATCTTCAGCAGCTAAAGCGGGATCTGCTGGCTGAGGCTGTGTAGTGTTAGTGGAGTTCCGCTACTGTGATTGTCCCATTCTTTGTTGTTCCTCGTCAAGATCCAATCTCCCTGTCGCCATTGCGTACTTGATCGTTGCCCGGACTGCTTTCATGTCTGGCGACCACGTTTTTGGATCCGATGGTGCTTTCCCTCCCAGGTAGAATGAGAGGCTCCCTCGCCTTGCCACTGTGCATTGCAACATGTCCTCCCTCAGAGCTTCCCATCTCTCGCATCGCAATAGAAAATGTTCCACGGTTTCCATCGCTCGGCCGCAAGGACAAAGGTCTGACTCGACCGCTCCGATTCGGCTTAGAAAGCCGTTCAGCCTCGCCATTCCGGTTCGGAGTTGTGCCAGGATACTGCCCCCTGGGGTGGTCTTGCGTTGCCACCCTCCAAAGATAGAGTGAATCACCAGCCTGCACCTCTCTCTATCGGTGGGTCGACTTGCCGATCTTGGCGGGTGCACAGTGATCATCTGAACGTGGCCAATTGCTGACTAATGATGGCAGCGGTCACGGTTGGGGGCTTGGCTCAACGCCAGCAAACAGACACGAAAAGAATACGCGCTTCCGTCCCACTTCCGATTGAGAAGCGCATGCTGAGCGCAATGGCAGGCCAATCGCGATCGGAGATCATCAAGCGAAATCCAATCGGGAACGGCCTTGACGGCTTTCAAGCTTCATACAGATCGGTCTGTAGTAGCAAGAGCATTCGGTACGCGTCAGACACGCTTGATCAGCTGGACGACGAAGGTCTGGCCAGCTGTCTCCGTTGTGTATCCTCCTCTAAGTGTCACGCAGAACCTTGCTGCCGCCCGTCTGCTGCCTGCGAGGGCTCGCCGTGGCACCCTTCGGAGCGACCTTCTGCGACTCGAGCTCTCCCTAGAGTATGACGTCTTGCTACGCTGCAACTAACTAGAATGCTACGAAAACTCGACAGGGCATTGATAACAGATACAATCCCCAATAGAACTGAACTGATTGATTCGTCGTGGCTGAGTTTGGAGGTACCTAGCGAATCGACCATCCTCTTACTTCTTGGCATGCTGGATGTAATCCTGCTAGGAGATCTTGCGCTGTCTGGGTTCAACAAAATCCGCAACCCCTCGAGGAAACAGGGTCAGGCAAGCCAGTGAGAGCAGTGTATACTTTTCGTTGAGTCGAGAGGAGTACGTCGGATGGAAGGCATCTGCAGCTGATAAGCAACCTGGAGGTCGACCGGCTAAAGAGGAACTTGCTCATCGGCCTCAACCCCATCATTGATCCGCCCTTTAAGCTGGTTCAACTCGGAGTCGTGAACCAGCATGTTTGGCACCGCAGCTTCGTTAACAACCTCACGGTTCTCTTCTGGCTCTTCAATAGGCCCAAAATCTGCAGCCAGACCCCCCGACTCCTCCGCCTCATGGATGTTCAACTGGTCAAAGACATTGCCATCCTCTGGCAACTGGGAGAGGTTGTCGTAGTTCCAGGTGAAATCTCTGTAGCCAGGGGTGGTTGTTTGCGAGGAATCTGAGCCAGACCTCGACCGCTGCTCGGCAGACTCAGAAGCGGTTGCGGAATTGTCAGTCCATCTGTTCGACCACTTCGAATCTACGTGATCGGAGGATGACAATGTCCAAATCCTTGGCAATAAGAGAAGCTCAGAATACACCTTGCCAACGTCACGCAGCAAGTGCACAACCATGCCCACGATACTTGTATTGCGGCCCACGAACCTGATGTTTATCAGCCATTGAAGTCTCTCGCAGGGAAGCAGCGCATACAGTAGAGGCATTGACGCTGACGTGGACGCGCGCAACAAAAGTCGAGATGGTCGGGGATGGTTGACCGGATTGCGAGGATGACGATCTCATTCTTCAACCCTCTGCGGCCGGACGGGCTCAAGTACTACGCATGCCCGTATATCGTCAGCCATCCGAGAACATTCAGGAACACGCCCGGAAAGTGCACGGCTGGCATAACCCGCAGAGGAGCAGCAGGCCGCCGCCCCGCCCCGGTTCTGGTCCCGGTCCACCACCACTGGACTTCGAGGAGCTCCCGTGGACCGAGGGCGTGCATCGTCAGAGTCTCTTCCCCTCACGGGCCACCAGCGGCTGGTTCGAGTTCCGCCGGTAGGGGCATGTCCCATAATAGGTAGAGGTTGTCCCATTAACAATAAGGGCAATCGTCATACGTCCGCGCCAGAGACTGGCAGAAAGCAAGAGGGCCAGAGAGCCGTACAGAGTGTCAGAGAACGCTAAAGCTACCACATCACACGTCTGCAACACATTAGTGGTAGTGGCAATGGTGGTGGCGGTGCCAGCCGCAGCAGAAGTCACTCTCGGAGCGGCCGCGAAGGCGCAAGGCGCAAGAAGGAGGGCTGGTATTGACAACTCTGAGCACGAGCTAATGCCCGCAGAAGAAGAGGGGCGGCGACAGAAAGGGCTCCTGGGATAATGGTGTCCGGGACTGAGACAAGGACATGTACAGAGGCACGAATAATGTGGGTAAAGACAACGAGGGCGAACCGGAGCGGATTCGCAGGTTGAGGAACCGGGTGAAGTGAAGGTGGAAGCAGCGGGTGGAGGTGAGAAGGGGCGAGACGAGGAGGCCGATGACGGTGGGAGGGGGCCCCGGCCAGCCGGCCCGCCAGCGTGGGATCTACCGTCGAAGCTGTGACCGAGGAAATCTGGTGTTTTGTGAAAGGAGACCGATATTGGAGAGAGAAACAGGACATTCCGCGGTAGCCCGCACCTGAGATCAGGGGCGATGGATTTGACTACGATCCTGCGGTCAAGGTCGGCGGTGCAACTGCCCCCACGTGGTCATTGATCTCTTAATCTTGACAGGAGCCGCATCGATTTCGAGTCTAGAAGGCCGGTATGCCCGTGCAGGCTAGCCTTTTACCGACAAGCGTCTCAGGTCCGGCCTTCTCGATGCTGAATTCGCTGGCACGGCCAACCCCCCCAAAGCGGTACCGGACTTCGGCCCAAGTCTTTTTTCAGGCAACCTAAGTGGCGGATGCTGCCGCCAAGAAGCGCTACTAGCCGCTGCGGCGCCGCGCCAGATCCCACTTATATCCAAGCGAGGATATAGGGCCGAGGTTCCCAACGCGCTACGGATAGCGGCACGGGAGACTGATCGTCCCTGACGCTACACCATGTCAAAGTTCTCGAGGCTGGATAATATCATGCAAGGTCATACCGGACCACCAAACGGGCACATCCCACGTGGGGCTCGGTGTCGGGTTGCATTGGGCTCTATGAACGGAGCAGGCGGCTTCAGCTGGACTCTTCGGCGGGTCCGCCGGCCAGCCAAACCCTGACGGCTCTCATCGCATGGCTTGAGACGACATACTCCGTACGGCAGTATATAAACATTGTGGCTTGGTCGCAAGATGGAGTGTCTGCCCTTCCTTGGTTCCTGCAGTTCATCTCCAGCTCAGGCCCCAGCACTGAGGCGCCTGGCCGCACAGCTTCTCCGCCATGGCAGCAATCTGGGTTCTCGGGGCTGCCGTCTTCGCCCAGGCACTTGTTGCAGCTCTCCCTACTACCGACACACCACGTGTGAGATACGACCTCAACATCACCTGGGCCGACGCCCCAAGCCACCATGCTCTCTCGACGCGTGCCCAAATCAGCGTGCCGCTGAGGATCATGCCGCTCGGGGACTCCATCACCTGGGGCAGCCTGAGCAGCACCGGCAACGGCTACCGGGGCCCCCTCGAGGAGTTCCTTTCTGCCGCTGGGGTCGACGTCGACTTCATCGGCACGCGCAAGCATGGCTCGATGGTTGACAACGACAACCAGGGCCACTCGGGCTCCTTCCTCGCTGAGATTAAGGAATACTCGTTGCTGTCGGTGGCGGCGCGGCCCAACATTATCCTCCTGCACGCCGGCACCAACGACATGGATCTCAACCGGGACGTCGCCACGGCTCCGAACCGTCTCGCGGCTATCATCGACCAGCTGCTGGACAAGTGCCCGGACGCCAGCATCCTCGTCGCGCAAATCATCTTCTCCACCGACGCGGCCATGCAGGCGCGCACCGACAATTACAACGCCGCCATCGCCGACCTCGCCCGCCGGTACCAGGAGCAGGGCCGCCACGTCATGGCCGTCGACATGACCAAGATCCTCACGCAGACTGACCTCGCGGATAAGAAGCACCCCAACGACTCCGGGTACCGCAAGATGGCCTCCGCCTGGCGCGACGCGATCCAAAAGGCCAACGACGCCGGGTGGATCAAGAAGCCGGAGCCGTATGAAGGCTTCGGCTTCGGCCTCGGCCTCGACGGCACCCCCAGCACCGGGAAGCTTTGCGAGGGCCCAAACTGGGTCAACCAGGGTACAGTCGCCGATTTGATCCGTGTGTGGGATCCGGAGGGGCAGGTCGCCCCGGGGGTCGACGGCGCAACCCAGGAGACGGTCGTGTTTGGGGACGTGGATGGCGACGGCCGCGATGATTACCTGGTTGTGTTTGGCGATGGGTCCGTTAAAGCGTGGCGAAATGCGGCCAACATCCCTGCCGCCGGCAAGGATCGAAACTGGGAACAACTCGGGACAATCGCCACCGGAGTTGGCGAACCGGGGTCCAAGGTTCGGTTCGCCGACATTGACGGCGATGGCAGGGTTGATTATCTGATTCTGTACGACGGCGGCGCGGTTAAAGCGTGGCGAAACTCGGGTATCATTGGGACGAGCAGCACAGGGCGCAAGTTTGAAGAGCTCGGCACCATCGCCACCGGAGTCGGTGAGCCCGGGTCCAAGGTCCGGTTCGCGGATGTCGATGGTGACGGGCGGGCGGACTACCTGGTGCTGGCTGACGACGGATCGATACGCGCATGGAGAAATACTGGCAATCTCAACAGGGTCGAGGGGAGTAGAAACTTTGAGGAGCTCGGCCAGATTGCCGCTGGAGTATCCGGGGTTCCGGGCTCCAAAGTCCGCCTGGCGGATTACGACGGTAACCTCCCTTATTTATCATTTCTTTCTCTTTCCTTTCTATTGTTTTCTTCTCTTTTCTTTCGTGTGTTTCTTAGTTTCTTCATTTCTTTCGTTTCCTTTCTTTCCTTTTTGTTGTAACTCTCAGGTGAGTCACATGGATGGTTGACTGACAACGGAGAGTAGGGGATGGTCTCGCCGACTACCTGATCTTGTACGACGGCGGAGCCGTTAGGGGTTACCGCAACACTGGCAATCTCGGCAAGGACGGCTCGAAGCGCAACTTTGACGAATTAGGCACGCTCGCGACCGGCGTTGCTGGCGTCTCGGGTGCATCTGTCAGATTCGCCGACTTGAACGGAGACGGCCGGGTAGATTACGTGTCTGTCTCGGGTGTTGGGGCCGTCGATGTGTGGTTGAACACTGGCCGCAACAAGGCCGCAGGAGCCGTTCGCTTCGCCGATCTGAACGGTGACGGCCTCGACGACTTTCTGTTCGTGTCAGATCGCGGAGCTTGTGACGCGTGGCTCAATGCTGGAGGCAGCCCGCAGACCTGGACCTCGATCGGCAAGGTCGCAACCGGAGTCGATGGAGCGACGCCGGACAACGTGGTCTTTGCGGACCTCGACGGGGACCGTCTCGATGATTACATTGTAATCAACGCCGATGGCTCGGCGAAAGGCTACCGAGGAACCGGAAACTTGAACGCAGCGTCCGGTAGAGTCTGGCAAGACTTGGGGGTCATCGCGACGGGAGTTGGCGCTGCTGGGGACAAGGTTAGATTTGCTGACATCAACGGTATGTTTCTTAGCCCCAACCGTGCAGACCGGTCTGATCATTGGGAGGATACTGAACCGGGAATAATCAGGAGACGGAATCGCCGACTATCTGGTTGTCTGGGATACCGGCGCAGTTGATGCATGGCTTGGGACTGGCGCAGTCTTGACCGACGCCAGGAATTTCAATAAGCTAGGCAGAATCGCCGCCGGCGTAGGTGCACCGGGCAGCAAGGTTCGGTTCGCCGACGTTGACGGAGACGGGCTTGCCGACTACCTTGTGACTTGGGACGGCGGGTCAGTCGAAGCGTGGAGAAACAACGGTAATCTGGAGAAGCAGCCCGAGCTGCCGAGCTGGGAGAAGCTCGGGGTTATTGCGGCTGGTGTCAGCAATCAAGGGCGTGTCGAGTTCGGGGATCTAAACGGTAAGAACGGCTGCAGCATAGGGCCCGGATGATGGCTATCATAGCTTCTCAACAGAGGCGGTGCTGACATTGTGACAACCAGGAGACAAGAAGGCAGACTATCTCAATGTCGACCGCGAAACAGCCGCTGTGCGCGCCTACATCAACCAGTGTGCCGGCAGTACGGACCCAAACGTCGTGAACCCCGGGACCGGCGGATCCAAATCCCCCGAGTGGGAGACCATCGAGTGCACAAACCCCGTCATCGTAGACGCGGCCATCAATCCGACCACACGATGGAACGGCGTCTTTGCACCGCAGGCGTGGGAGTGAGTATTATTACGTCCCTTGTCTCCCCTCAGCTTGTGCTGACCGAGCTATCAAGAGCGGTAGTCCAAAATTGGACGACGAATCGCAGCCCCGGAGGACTCTCCTTCTCAGAACAAGTCAGCAACTTCTTCCACGGGCCGGAGCACATGAAATGCCACTTAAATGCGGACAACAACGGGTGCACCTCGTTTGTCCAGTGTCACGACACCAATCACCCTGCGGGCTATTTCATCCTGAACTCCATGACTGCTCTTAA